ACAACACATAAAGTCAATGTTAATATATGAATGAGATATCGATATACACGGTATGAAGACAACTTTAATATATATGAATGAGATATCGATATAAACGATATAAAGTCAACGTTAATATAAATAATATAAATTCAACGTATGTATAGAGAATAGGCGATTTTACGATACCTACCTTCATTCCTGGCTTTCCACACAGCTGCTAACGCACATCTTGATGGAGAATAAATGACGTCACTGAGATCTGTGTCGTCTATCCGGTAATTTATAATGTCGTATACGTCAACGTGATCATAATCTGTGTTTCCTGTGCATGTAAAAAAGAATACAGAAAAACTTGGGTCATATTCAGAAATGTATCTTCGTCGCTCTCAGTTTAGAGAGATATTTCGTTTATAATATTAATATAACCATGTTCGTTAGTTACCTGTTACATCAGAACATTCACTTTCTGCCCCATGACACACTTCATATTCCGGTGCACATGTGCAGTCTCCTTGACAAGTCTGCAAAGAACATCGCCTTAGCAACACAAGAATTCCTTCAAAATCATTAGATTGTACTACTTCGAATGTGTCATGGGCTTCCATACTTCGCATTCCGACCTTTAAGGGATGAAAAATATCTAACCACATGATCACTGACCGTATCATTAACAGTTTGAAACATGTTCCAGATATATTGTAATATTCGTCATAGCGAGGTTACACGTCAGCAATAATGCTTGTTTTAACTGTCTCCCAGTAATTGTGGAATTTCTCAACAATAAAACTTATCTGCATAATTATACAATTAATTTCTACTTACACCATTTACTGCCCACAAAGTTATGTATATATATTCTCCTGGTACAAGATTTCTGTTGATTTCAACTATTCCAGTCTGCACCGCACCTTCGTCATGATAAAGCTCACCGTTCTCATGTGCCAATGCTACCGGCCCATCCTAAATACAACAGAGAATGTGTCAAACAAACTGCCACGAATACTCCAATAATATTATTAATGTACGATAACTCACTCACAACTAGCTGTACATTACTAACTATTCAAACATACCGGTGTTAGGTCTCGACCACTATATTGACTTCCAACTGTCACATAATAGTGTGTAATTCCTGAGTGAATATCAGAGAAACCAAGCCACGCTAGTTTGATAATTGCAGGATAGTTTTCAGTCTCTTGTACATACGTCATGTATCCTTCTTGGTGTCTTGAAAGATCAGCAGAATGATTAGATGCCGCAGCAAATGTACCAACAGTCGGCTGAGAGGAATCTACCTACATATAAAAACCAGTCGATACAAATAATTAAAATGTACCTATTATATTGCACAAACTAAGGGCGTTATCGGAATGCTTTTCTCACAATGAATTCATGTCTGTTTCTATGTAGACATGCTGTCAAATGGTCATTTTATATTTGACCTTGAACCAATATGCATACACCACATGTCAATTTTTCATATATATATATGGTACTGTGACGATGGTTCACATTAGTTGCCGTATAGTATTAGCGAATATAATGGCGAATTATTAAGCTGCAAATCAGACGTTGTTATGTTATGTTAAGCGCGATCATTATAACCGTAAACACGGGCGCAAATAATTTATTGTTGATGTATAAATTAACTTACAAGGATACCTCGAGTTCCACTAGAACTGCAGAGTTTTGCTGCATTACATGCTACAACCTTCACATAATATGTATCACCATCGTTCAATGAGAGGTCGGTAAATATATAATCCGTAACAATACCAGAGACCTAAGTTTAAACAAACTGTATCAGTGACAATCACATTATATGACTGTTCCGACAAACCATGAAAAGTGAGTCAGCACAGCCTGTCCAAATGTGGTACTCGCCATATATTATTATGAGTCATAATCAAATGGTTTCTGCAAGAACACTGAAATTTACACCGACCGTTTTAAACTAATTTTATATCACATACCTGTGTTGATGGTACGTCTACTTCTGATTGGTGACCAGTGAAAACTGACAGTATCTGCCGCTCTATTGGGCTTTCAGTATCGTCAAACTGCCAGGTGACACGGAGGAAGCTTCTCCAAACCTATTAAATGAACTTGAACAGTTTAAATTGTACATGTATGGCACTCATTTTAATACAACACATAATAACATTGGTTTTAATGATCTGTATTTTGACTGTTCCTGGAGCCTTGGTACTTTGACGCATGTTAGACTGTCGTGGACACGAACAGAATAACGTAGTCCATAGCACAGTTCAATTGTGGCTTATTCGGTACCAGGAAAATGTAGAGCAATTAGTTGTTTGACTTTACCACTCTTTGCTTATTTAGTAAAAAAATATTGGTGCTTGTCATTTGCCGGTATCATTTATATGTATGTATTCACATATTGTTTTAAGAATGTTCATCATCGTTTTCAAATCACAATATTAATCCACTCTACATTAAGATCGGAATAATAGTTTCTTTTATTTAAATATGGTCAATATATAAGGAGCGCCATATCCAGGGTCTCTATTAAAATAATTATGTATATAAATCAAATAGTAACTAGCCTCAACCAATAAAATCACAATTCCTATTGTCAAATGGACCCTTCCAAATATTGGACGATCTACTGATTTTACATACAAAAGGTAGAGTTGCATATTCATATATTTATTTAAACAATATAAACAAACTACCATGTCATGGTTATGTGTAAAATTTCAATTCCCGATGAATAAACGATAATTGCGACATTGTACCTGTGTGTCGGGAATGATGGACCCCACAATCTGGTTTACAGTTATATTTCTTATAACATGTGGAGGAGTCACGTCAACTTTTATACCATTTGAAGTAGCTTCCACTGCCAAACCTGGCGTTTTATTTGAAAAAAAAACACAGTTACTTAATATTTTGAACTAATGACATGAGTGATATACTCAGTGTTGTCTACATACAATAAAGATTGCGATAAATCAACTTACCAATGTTATCGTATGCTTTAATGGTAGTATATATTGTTGCATTTTGTGGCAAGAGTGACTCTAACAGCGGAACATAGAGGCTTTCAGTTATATGCAGAGGCGTGGAACTAACAATGTCATCTCCACCACGTGTTACACCTGCTCTCCATTCATAGTGAGATAACTTAGAGTGATAATCATGAAAGTTGTACCAATGAGCTGCTAGTCGTTTTCTTTGGTTTTAATAAAACAAATAATCATAAACGCACAATATATATATATTTAAGTAAATTAAACATTATTAATGATACCACTTCATCTACCAAATAATATGAACACTGTATGTTTTAAGGCTTAAACGTCAATTAGTATTTAAACATGTTACATTACTTATTACAAATGATTTGTGCTATATTCCCAAATTAACAAACCTTGATGCCTGGTATTGCCAATCTTTACCACTTGGACCATCAAATACCATACCAGCTATGGGTGGTGAAATGTCCGAAGTGACACCATCAGAGGATGCACTAGTACACATGCCAGCCGAATTGCATGCTGTTACCGTGGTGTAGTACGTGAATCCAGGTTTTAAATTGAGATGATCAGCTTCCATTTCTGTAATTCAAATTAAACTTTTGTGTTACATGCGTTATTTATTATTTACAAATAAGCGAATTAAATTATTAACATATGTTCCTATTCAATAAATTAGAAATTGTGGCTAATTACCTGTAACCAGTCCAACGTGTTGTTCTTGCATCACATCATCACATCCACGACACGTACCTATCTTCCAAATATAATCAACAATTCCCGAATGAGGATCGATGAATCCTTCCCAGTAGGCATTTATTTTTGATGTATCAAACTGTAATATAGTCACAATAAAATAACGAAAATCAATAAAACTTTGAATAACATTACATATTGCATTAAATGCAAAACAACTTAAATCTGGTAAAATTACCTGGTAATCGAAATCCTTGAACGTGCTGTTTCTCTCACCATCATATACAATGCCTGGTTCTGGTGGACTTGTATCAATTGTTACTGCCCACGAAATAGCCATTGCTGACATACCAGCACCATTATAAGCCTATAATATAACCCTAACCCGATAAGTAAACATACAACCTGGTGTACAGTTATAAAACACTATATGCATATTTAAATAACATGTTTGTGATTAGTTGCCTGACCAAGGGATGGTGGTCATGACCAACAGCCTGAAGGCAGACAACAAATCGTGGTATTGCCTGAATGACCATGCGATATTTATTTTTTATCACATCTCACTGCTGTTACGTCTGCTATGATTGGTTAAAATTCGGTCACATGACATTGAATAAATTGGATATTATATGGCATATTGCCCGCCAAGTGGATATTACATGGTATATCACATGTATGACGTCACTGAAACTACTGCGCAACGATACTGCGCATAACAAATTGTCGTTCGCTGCACTGGTGCTGGCCCGGCCGTTGTTGCTTTCGGGGTTGCTTTCATGGTTTTGAAGGAACTTTAGCCATCTGAAATAGACAGCGTGTCAGAATTTGTTTTGATGTTTAGGGTATTCTTTATATGAAACAAAAATATACGTCAAAGCCGCCACTGAAACGTCGCAGCTGGGATCGCTACGGCACATTCTACGCTGTGAGCATTTCTACGCGTGCCACGCCGATGCTAGCCGAAAATGCTCTCAGCTGTGTGACTTGTGCATAGAAGGCGTAGTACGTTCGTGAGTGAGTAATTTCAATCATTTCCAAGGCACTCTGACATTTTTATCTGGCGAGTGGTTAAATAACTTGCGTTTGAGAATTTCTCAATTCATTTCAAAAATGTTATACTTGCTAAATTGAGTGGTTCGCATTTCTGAAACATGGTTACTAATGTATTCGTGGCTAAAATATCCTTTTTCTGGAAACAATGTTTGTATGCTATGAGTAATGTGAAACTTGTTGGTCATGACTCTGGCATCATCAATATTATGGTCATGGCCACCATCACTTGGGCAGGCAACAAATCGTGATATTACCCTCACAAGCATGTGTTATTATTTAAATCACATCGAACAGACAACAATCTTGCACAATTATCTCCACCATACATCCCTCGCACCCGCTCTGCCACAAAATAGCAACACTTATATTTGAAGTATGTAATATAATTTTATTTTATGCTATAAAATTATAAGTTACACATTACTCAATATCATACATACACTGTTTTCTGAAAAATACACAGTAAATGTTACTCACATCCACGGATACTCTTTTTAAGTAACAGTGTTTCAG